TGGCCTCTGCTCCGGCGCTCCCCGGGCCCGGAGGCACTGTGAGTCACCCTCACAGCCCCATCCCCTTCACTTTCGGCGTTGGGGGCGACCCGGAGGACGCTCGGCCCAGGGATGGTGAGCCGGGTTGTGTGGGGACCAGGGAAGAGAGGAAGGAACGGGAGGCCCAGGCCTCCCTCCCCGTCAAACGGGCTGTGCCTTGGGGTACCCGTCTATCTGGCTGGGGTAAGCTGTGCGTCCTGCTCCCCCATATGTCCATATCTGTGTCCAGGTGTGTGTGCGGTCACGCCCTTGCTGAGTACGCATGCCACCAACAATATGGACGCCCAAGTGCCAGAGAGGTCATGCAGTGTATCCCCCTGTCTCCGGGCTAAAAATCATCTATCCCTCCATCGACGCATCCATCTAGAGAGGAAGAAACCTGGACGGTTTTTAAAGACTTCCGAGGAGTGACCAGTGTGCCTGTGTGCTCTAATATCCATTTGTCATCTGCCTTGCATACATCCACGGTTTTTCTGAGGCGTGTGTCCAGAGCGTGTGCATATAGTATACAGGGGTCATTTCTTGTGCCAGTCTTTCTTCGCGGACTTCACGCAGAGGCAGGGGAGGGCGTGGGTGGGGGGCGGGGAGTCGAGATGCAGACCGCACGTGGGTGTACCCCAGCACTGAGCATGCTCCCCCATACACGTGTGCCCGGCGTGCACCCAGCCCCCGCCCCTGCAGCAGCAAAAGGCTGGGGCACTCTACTTGTGGAGAGAGGGCATGGGTGCCCAGGACCATGCCTGGGAGCCAGGTCAGTGGTGACACATTTAAAAGAGGGCTCCCCTAGCGTCAAAGACTCCTGCTGTGTAACAAGGGAGAGAGGGGAGTCCTTGGGCAGGGGGGCCCGAGTTGATCGATTTGTCCCAGCGGTGCCAGAGCGGCAGTGACTTGTGGGTGGGCAGGAGACAAGTAATGCTCATGAGTCACACCACCCGAAATACATGCAAAGCTGCCTCCATCGCCTTTCGCTGCAACCCAGATTGACAAGTTTGTTTGAAATCGCGATCCACGAGATACATTTATAATCGCACCTTTAAAAAATCTTGCAGGCCTCCCCTCCCCCTACACCCAACAGCCAGCCGCTCAGCTGGTGGGGCTTCTGCGAGCAAAGATACCTCGCGGATGGGGGTGGGGGAAACGCCACCTGCCGCCCCTTGCAGCAACCGCACGTGGAATCAATCCCTCGTTCCTGCCCTGCTCTGAGGTGGGCTCGAGAAGGCACCGTGTCTGGTCCCGCCACCTGTCTCAGTCCGCCTGCTGGGAGGAGGCAGGCGCCGTTTCCAGGGCAGTTACTGTCCTTAGCTCACCCCAGGAGGTAGTACCCAGAGTCTCGTTTTAGAGGAGCGTGGACTGAGAAACTGGGGAAAAAAATTAAGCAATTTGCTTAAGGTCAGGAAGTTAGTAGGGAGGTGTTCGAACTCGGGTCTCTCTGACACCACAGTTCCTCCTCCCCCAGAACTAGACCAAGCGTCTCCATCCTCCCAGCCCTTGCAATTGGCGGCCCCGGAGGCCGATTTCACTTACCACACCCTCTGCAGGGACCTTTCTGGAAGGATCGCTCTGCCCTGGGGTCATTCAGGAAGGCGAGAGTCTCTGGAATCAGTCACTTCTCCTCCTGAGCGGACCCCACGGGGTGGAGGTGGGAGCTGCCACCTGCTGCTTTCTGTGTCCAACCTCACTCTGATTCTTGCTGAGGACAGTGTATGGGGGTGAGGGACTGTCCTCCCCGCCTTACTGGACGTTCTCTTTCCAATGTCATGTGTGGAAGATATACTGGGCGCGCAGTCCACGAGCGGTGGCCGCCTGTTCACCCCCGATCGACTCCTAGCTATGGAATTTCATTTATTAAATGTCGAGGCGGCCGCTGGCAGTCCTGCCGCTTGGATGTCTTTGTTTCCCGGCTGTGTGGGTGCGTCTCGAGCACGTGGCAGCCAAGCGCCCAGTCCGGAGGAAAAGCGACCTGGGTTTAGTGTCTATGGCCGCCTGGCAAAAAGGGAACCCAGCTTCTCAGAGGACAGTTTCCCTCGAATCCAGGCTGACATCCCCCATCTTTGGCTCCTGGGCTGTGCAGGGGAAGAAAGATGATTCAACCCGTTCTGCGTCCTCCCCATCTCTTGGTTGACCCGAGGACTACCTGGGAGTGGCCCTGGCATGGACACACTGTACAAACTTTGTCCCAAACCCTCAGCCCCGTCACAGCCAAGTTTCTGGGCTTGGGGCTGGGGATAAAAGGGTTTCTGGATTTCCCTGTGGAGATGTCACCACCCCAGGAAACAGGACAGCTAAAGTGGAATCACACAGGGGTCTAAAAACAATTTAATCAGGAAATGTACAGGCATTCTCCCGGCCACTCCTAGACGCCCCTCCCCCGCCCCAGCTCACTCCCCAACTTCGGCTGCAGCCACGACACTCTGCTGACCCCTCGTGGTGGAGGCGGGCAGCTGTCCCGAGCTCCGGGAGACGCCAGCTGGCTCCGCCCAGGCTAGAGAAAGGGGCGAGGCAGTCCGCTCCCCCCTCATCCCTTTCCCGCCGGGGCTTGGCACCGCAGGGTGTGGAGGAGGAAGGAGAGAAGGCCGCACAAAGAAACCTGAGAGAGGCGCGGGAAGTTTGCAAGCTTTTGCTGGCACCTCCCACACAAACACTTCTTGGATTGCTGTTTTGAGTAGGGCTGATGTGGAATCAATCCCTCGTTCCTGCCCTGCTCTGAGGTGGGCTCGAGAAGGCACCGTGTCTGGTCCCGCCACCTGTCTCAGTCCGCCTGCTGGGAGGAGGCAGGCGCCGTTTCCAGGGCAGTTACTGTCCTTAGCTCACCCCAGGAGGTAGTACCCAGAGTCTCGTTTTAGAGGAGCGTGGACTGAGAAACTGGGGAAAAAAATTAAGCAATTTGCTTAAGGTCAGGAAGTTAGTAGGGAGGTGTTCGAACTCGGGTCTCTCTGACACCACAGTTCCTCCTCCCCCAGAACTAGACCAAGCGTCTCCATCCTCCCAGCCCTTGCAATTGGCGGCCCCGGAGGCCGATTTCACTTACCACACCCTCTGCAGGGACCTTTCTGGAAGGATCGCTCTGCCCTGGGGTCATTCAGGAAGGCGAGAGTCTCTGGAATCAGTCACTTCTCCTCCTGAGCGGACCCCACGGGGTGGAGGTGGGAGCTGCCACCTGCTGCTTTCTGTGTCCAACCTCACTCTGATTCTTGCTGAGGACAGTGTATGGGGGTGAGGGACTGTCCTCCCCGCCTTACTGGACGTTCTCTTTCCAATGTCATGTGTGGAAGATAGAGTTTAATTTTCTAAGCAGGCAGGGAAGACTACTGAGAAATATTTCAGGTGCCAGACCCTAACTGCTCCAATGACCCTTGATACGAATGCTCCGCACCCTTTCAGAGGTCTCTTCTAGGAATCCAGATCCCTTCTCAGGAACCCTGGGGCCCAAACTCAATTCTGAAGGCCACACCTCCCTCCGGCCCCCAAACCAGCAAGGCTTCCTCCCTCCCTCCCCAGCAAAAGGCAAAATGCCGGCGGTGGAGATGCGCCCCAACGCCACCTGGCGTTAGGGCACTGCCCCCGTTTCGGTCAGGCCTGACTCCCTGCCCACCCTCTCATGGGCTCAGGGGACAGTGCAGGACCCTCTCCGGCCACCTGCCACCCCCAGTTCCACGGAAGGACTACAAGCCCCATGATGCCACGGGGCCGAGCTGTAACTCGCTCTGCCGGGGACACCGGTCCCCCCTCCTCCCCTGAATCCCCGCATCCCTCGCAGGCCGCTCGGGCTGAGGGCCGGGCTATGCGGCTGCGGGGAGCCGGGGGCTGCGGGCGCGCGTCCCTGCGGCGGCGGCA